TTTTTTATTTTCTGCTTTTATTTTTTTAACTTCAATACTTAAAAGCTTTAATAAAATTGGTGATGAAGGTGCGTTAGCATTAGGTTCCAGTTTAGCAAATTGCACTAATCTCTAAAATTTGGAACTTTATCTTTTGTAAAAGCAGTTTATTTTTTTAGATTGTGATAGATAAAAATAAGTTTAATCTATTTAATAGTCTTTTATTTGGTTAATTTTTCTTTTTTATATTTATTTTAATTTCTTTGATAATTTAGCTATTTTTTGATTTTCAATTTTATTATTTATTAATTCATTTTCTCACATTTTTTTTCATTTATTTTCTCCTTCTCACTAACTTATTAATTTTATTATTTTCTTTAATATTTAAAAAGATCCAATAAAATCGGTGATTAAGGTGCATCAGGCTTAGGTTCTGGTTTAGCAAATTGCACTAATTTATCAAATTTGGAACTTAATCTTAGGTAAAAATAGTTTATTTTCAGATTGTGATATTTTTGAATATAAAAATAAATTTAAAATAAGATAACTAACTCTTTTAATTTATTTAATAGCGTTTTATTTGTTATATTTTTTCTTTTTACTTTTAATATTTATTTTTATTTCTTTGTTAATTTTGGTAAATTTTTTATTTTCAACTTTTGTTTTTATTATTAGCAAATTTATTTCTTATTATTTCATGTTTCATCTTTATTTTTTCCTTCTCACTTACTAATTAATTTTATTTTTTTCTTTAATATTTTAAAAAGTCGTAATAAAATCGGTGATAAAGGTGTATTAGCCTTTGGTTCTGGTATAGCAAAGTGCACTAATCTCTCAAATTTTTCACTAAATTTAGAGTAAAAACTGTTTATTTGTTTGGGATTGTGATATTTTTTAAAATTAAAATTAATTTAAAACAAATATATAATAACTCTTTTAACTAATTTATTAGATATTTATTTGATTTATTTTTCTTTTGCTTTGTTATATTTATTTCTTTGTTAATTTAATTAATTTTTTCATTTTCAATTTTCGCTTTAGTTATTAATTAATTAATATTTTATTATCTATTTCATTTTTTCCTTCAAAGTAATTACTTAATTATATATTTTTTTGATATTTAAAAAGTGATAATTAAATTTCTTGTAAAGGTGCACCAGGCTTAGGATATTGTTTATCAAATTGCACTAAACTGTCAATTTTAAGACTTGGTCTTAGGTGAAAAAATTTTATTTATTTTAGACTGTAATACCTTTTAATATAAAAATGAATTTAAAACAAAAAAATTTTTTTATTTGATTTATTTTTCTTTTAATTTTTTTCTTATGTTAGTGCTTTTTTTTTACTTTCTTAATTTAGTTAATTTTTAATTTTCAAATATTTACTTTATTATTAGTTAATTTCTTATATTTCATGTTTTTTTTTCTTTTTAACTAATTAATTAAAAATCTTTTTTTCTTCAATATTTAAAAAGTAACAATGAAATTGAAGATGAAGGTGCTTAAGGCCTAGGTTATGCTTTAGCAAATTGCACTAATCTCATAAATTTGAATCTTGATCTTGGGTAAAAAAAGTTTATTTATTTTAGATTGTGATACTTCTATTTATTTAATTAAAAACAAAATAACTAAACTTTTTTATTTATTTTCTTCTTATTTGATTTATTTTTTCTTTTTTAATTCTGTTAGTATTTTTTCTTACTTTCTTTGTTAATTTAAGTAATTTTTTAATTTTTAACTTTTGCTTTTATTATAAATTAATTTATTTCTTACTATTTCATATATTTTCTCTTTTTATCAATTGTCAACTACTAATTATTTAAATTTTTTCTTCAATTTTAAAAAGTAGCAGTTTTGTTAGTGATGAAGGTGTATTAGGCTTAGGTTTTGGCTTAGTAAATTGCAAAAATCTATTAATATTGACACTTACGACTGAGTAAAAGCCTTTTATTTGTTTTCGGATTGTGATATTTTTTAATATAAAAATGAAAATAAAATAATATAACTCTTATAATTTATCTATCTATTAGCCGTTAATTTAATCTTATTATTTTGCTAATTTTTTTAGTAATTTACATTAATTTATATTAAAAGTGATTTAGAATTCGATAGATCATAAGAATTAAAAGTAAAAAGCAAGTATCTTAAATCAAAGAGATTAGTTGACTTAGTCCTTGACATTTATGAAATAATGTGAAAAAAGGACTAATAATAATAAAATCATTTGAATAATATTATTAGTTTTATTTTATAATATTTTATATTTAGATAATTTAATCTAAAATATAGATAAATTTGTTATTGTTTGTTTATTTTTATACTTACAAATATCAAATTATTCTAAATTAATAAATATCTTATTTAATAAATTAAAATTTAAAAATTAAATTTACTTAAATAAAGTAATTATAAAGGTCAATCCTCAATTTTAGTTTAAAATTAATTGCTAGTCTTATTACTCCTTATTAAATTATTTATTTAAATTCAAGCTTTAATCAGACTTATAAATAAATTAGACAATTAATAATTTTTAGACAGAAGAAAAAGATAAATAAAAATGCAATAAAAAAAAAAATTTAAAACATTTTAAATATCTAGATATATTACTGTTCCGTTCCAGCATTTGAAATATCATTAACCATTAAAAATATCATAATATAAAGATTGATATAAATTAAAATTATTAATATTATTAATTAAATTCTATTATAAAATTATTTATTTTTATATAAATAATATTCAAAGGCATCAACCATTCAAAAAAATAGTGATCTCAATTCACTAAATTTTTGAATGGCATTTTGCTATAAACAGTTAATACAGTATCTCCAACGAAGCAAAAACTTTGCTCACATTGTTGATTTTCTACAGGTTTAATTGTTTTATTATTTATTTAATCTATTGTTAATTTAAAGCCAAATCCATTTATCAGAAGCTAAATACATACTAAATATACTAGAATAATATTTCTCATTTTATCAATAACTTTGTTTATTTATGATAAAATAATATTTTTTTATTTATTTTTCTAATAATCTAATTATGCAATTAAGCAATCAAAAGCAGGTGATTTAAAATCTTAAATAAATAAAGTTAATAAGTATCTTAATTAACTATCCCAAAATTTATTCAAAAAAACAAATACTAGAAATAATCAATACTCTATGTTGTTAATAAAAGTTTTTATTGATTAAAATTTTCTTATCATAGAGTTATTAGGCGATGCAGATATCTAGAAAAAAATATCAGAAACCTTATCTACATTAACATTTTTAATTACCATTCTAAAATAGGTAAAAGAATAAAATTAGTTTCAGAATTAAACAAAATTATATAATTTTAATTTCTTTATAAAAATCAAATTTTGAAATGTCTATTTTATCTAAAATTAAAAATGGAATTGTATTTCTTTTTATCTCAATAGATTTCATTATCTTTTAATAAAATAATTTGATTAAAATTTAATATAGTGTTTGTATTTATTTTTTAAATAATCTAATTTTGCTGATAAGTAAGCAATCAAGAATCTTAAATAAACAAAATAAATAATTGCCTTAATTAGCTATCTTAAAATTAATTCCAAAAACTAATACTAAAAATAATTAAAAATTGTATGTTTTAAATTAAAAGGAAGTATTTTTATTAATTAAAATTATTAATACATACACCAACTATATCTCATTAACGATGCGTGTTTCAAAAAATTTTGATCATAAAATTATTAGGCGATGAGGATATCTAGAAAAAAATATCAGAAACCTTATCTGCATTAACATTTTTAATTTAAATTCTAAAATAAATAGGTAAAAGAATGAAATTAGTTTCAGAATTAAACAAAATTATATAATTTTAATTTCTAAATAAAAATTAAATTTTGAAATGTCTATTTTATCTAAAATTAAAAATGGAATTGTATTTCTCATTATCTAAATAGATTTCATTATCTTTTAATCAAATAATTTGTTTAAATTTAATATAGTGTTTGCTTTTATTTTTTAAATAATCTAATTTTGCTGATAAGCAATTTAAAGCAATCAGAAATCTTAAATAAACAAAATAAATAATTGCCTTAATTAGCTATCCCAAAATTAATTCAAAAAACAAATACTAGAAATAATTAAAAATTGTATGTTTTAAATTAAAAGGAAATGTTTTTGTTAGTTAAAATTATCAATACATACACATACTATATCTTACTAGACGACGCGTGTTTCAAAAAAAAAACATCAGAAACCTTGTCTATATTAATATTTATTAATTTACCATTATAAAATAAGTTAATAATCAAAATACCATTTTAACTTTTGCAAATTAATTTCCTATTTTTTTTGCTTAGCTCTAAGTCTGTTTATCTTGTCTATTTAACTATTTATTTTTATTTGATCTGACTGCTATGATATGAAAAATTAGGTTCAGAATTAGATAAAAATATAAAACTTTAATTTTAAAAAATCAAAATAAAATTTTGATATGAATACTTTATATAAAATTAAAAATGGAATTAATTGCATTTCTCACTTTCTCAATAATTTTTTTTATTTTTTAAATAATCTGATTTTGCTGATAAGCAATTTAAAGCAATCAGAAATATTAAATAAAATTAATAAGTATCTTAATTAGTTAGCTATCAAAATTAATTAAAAAAAATCAAATATTAGAAACGATTAAAAAATTATATGTTTTATTGATTAAAATTTTCTTATCATACATACACTAAACAGACGATGCTTATACCTAGCAAAAAAAAAAATATCGCAAACCTTATCTACATTTAATATATTTTAATTTACCATTCTAAAATAAGTAATAAAACTAGGATCAGAATTAGCCAAGATTATACAACTTTAATTTTAATTTATCAAAGTTAAATTTAAAGGAAATGTGTTTGAAAATTTTATACAAAATTAAAATCTTTAAAAATTTTTATAACATACTATATATATTTTTAAGATTATGTACAATTTTAATATTAAATAATGAATGTTAAATAATTTTTTATGATATCTCTTCATAAAAACAAATCTATCAATTTATATTTGATAATTAATTATTACATTTTATTTGTTCTTTTTATACATTTATAATTAATTAATTAAATTCCATAAATTACTATTGAATATTTTAGGGGGGAAAAAAAATGATATAATAGATTAAATGTTACACCAGATTAGAAAGTGTAATTATTAATTTTTTTATTAATATCCTTTATATTTATTATTATTAATAAAAAAGTTTTTAAACTCTTCACTTAAATCTCATAAGTTTCTCTATATTGATCTAAGGTATATTTAATTTAAAAATATTATTAAATTTTTTTATGTTTACATTACAATTTACTTTAAAAAATAATTTTTATAATAGAAATTCTTATCATTATTCATTCATTGAATTTATAAAAATATTTTTTAGTAATTTGAACTTAATTTTGATTTTAATTATTTATTATTCATTTTTTATTATTTTATATTCTTTCTTCATTTTTTGCTATTAGCATTTAGACTTACTCTTTATTTATTTTGGTTTCTAATATTTTTAATTTTAAAAATTAATTTAAAACATTAAAGCTCTTTTAATTTATTTGATTTATTTTTCTTTGATTGCTTACTTTTTCTTTCTTTCTTTCTTTCTTTCTTTCTTTCTTTCTTTCTTTGTTAATTTAACTAACTATTAAAAAATCTAATTATTTAACATATTTTCTTCATTTTTTCCTTCTAATTAACTAATCAATTATATATTATTTCTTCAATATTTAAAAAGTTTCTAAAAGATTGGTGATGAAGGTGTATCAGTCTTAGGTTCTGCTTTAGCAAAGTGCAGTAATCTCTCAAATTTGACACTTAAACTTTAGTAAAAACAGTTTATTTTTTTTTGATTGTGATATTTTTAATAAAAAAAACTAATTAAAAATAATAAAGTTCTTTTTTTTTTTCTTTTTATTGTGCTTGCTTTTTTTTGTTCTTAATTTGTTAATTTAGCTCATCATTTTATTTTAAACTTTTACTTTTATTATTAATTAATCTTATTATTTCATATTTTTTCTTCATATTTTCCTTCTCATTAACTAATTAATTATATATTTTTTCTTCAATATTTAAAAAGTAAAATTTAAATTGGTGCAATAGGTGCATCAGGCTTAGGTTCTGCTTTAGCAAAGTGCATTAATCTCTCAAATTTGACACTTTAATTTCAGTAAAAATAGTTTATTTGTTTTTGGTTTGTGATTTTTTTATTTGTAAAAACAAACTTAAAAACAATAAAGTTAATTTTTCTATTTCTTTTTATTGTACTAGCTTTTTTTTCTTCTTCATTTTTTAATTTAACTCATAATTTTATTTTGAACTTTTGCTTTTATTATAAATTAATTAATTTTATTATTTCATATTTTTTCGTCATATTTTCCTTCTCAATAACTCATTAATTATATATTTTTTCTTTAATATTTAAAAAGTGAAAATGGAATTGGTGATGAAGGTGCATCAGGCTTAGGTTCTGTTTTAGCAAAGTGCATTAATCTCTCAAATTTGAGACTTGAACTTTCGTAAAAACAGTTTATTTTTTTTGGATTGTGATATTTTTATTTTTAAAACAAACTTAAAACAATAAAGTTAATTTTTCTATTTCTTTTTATTGTGCTTGGTTTTTTTTCTTCTTCCTTTTTTAATTTAACTCATAATTTTATTTTGAACTTTTGCTTTTATTATTAATTAATCAATTTTATTATTTCATATTTTTTTTCTATATTTTCCTTCTCATTAACTAATTAATTATATTTTTTCTTTAATATTTAAAAAGCTACAATTAAATTGGTGATGATGGTGCATCAGG